TTCGTACCAGGACTAAGACCTCCTCTCTGCAATGACGTCAAGGTAATAGATTGTCCCAAAGTCACAACACTAGAATTGGGAGTCTTCTATACTGCTATCTACATTTTAGCTAATGGGACATGTGGAACAAAGCCCAATATCTCGACCATCGGAGTGGATCAATTCAATGATTTTGATCCAAAGGAGAAGGCCCATAAACTTTCCTTCTTCAATAGGTGAATATTTAGCATTTTCTTTAGGATACTTTTTGGCAACACTGTTCTTGTTTACATTCAGGATGATGTGGGTTGGACCTTGAGCTATGGTATTCCAACTGTTGGACTTGCAATAGCTATTTTGGTTTTGGGAAAATTACCCAAAAGCCTGCATTTTAAGTATACATTTCAATTATCAAATCCTAAGACCTTTCGTTTTCATAATTAGGGGTTAATTCATCTTTTATTAATAATAATATTATAAAATTAAAATTTAATTCAAATATTCAACCCTAAATATCATTTCTTACCCTACATTCTCTTTCTCTCGAAGATCACTAGCTCCACAGCTCACGAGAGTCCCCCGCCGGTAAGCCAGCCAAGGCCATCGAGTTTCCCGCTTCAAAGGATCTGGCCTCCGCCCTTGCTTAGATTATCAACCGTTCGCCGCCTCTGGCCCAAGTCCCGGCTTCCGGTCTTGACCCGCCCCAAAATGATGGGTTAGCCGGAGGTCAACGGGCCGTGCAACCACTCTCACTGTTTTCGCCGCTTCCGGTTGTGCACGCATCGACGGAGTCCCCGATCTCCGCCTACATGCGATTCCTCCAGAGTTCAATCTCATCTTCTTCTGGTGCTTTGCCACGGTGGAATAGCCTCGCACAACCCCCAGCAGCAGCAGCCACCACCAGCATAATCTTTTGCTGCCTAGTTCGAGTTGGTTTTGGTGGTGGTGATTGTACCATAGGTAGAGGAGGTGGGAATTTAGATATTGGAGGTGGGGAGGAGATTGGTGGCGGAGGTGAGTATGGTGGTGGTAGAGGTGAGTACATTTGTAGTGGTGGGGGAAAAAACTAGTGGTGAAGGTGGAGTTGGTTTAGGACGTGGTGGCTGAGATTTTGGTAGTGGTGGTGTTGGCAGTAATGGTTCTGCTGGCGGCGACGGGGTGAGGTGGCACGAAATTTGATTGGTGTCGATGGTAGCTATGTGGGTGGGGTAAATCTGCAGTTGTGCTGATTTACATTTAGTACGAGAGACGATGATTTTAGGTATGGTACTGGTGATTTGACTCTGGAATAGAATGTGGCAGCGATGATTTGGGTCTTTTCACCTGTTTTATTGTAGAGGTGGTGGTAGTGGATTTTTTAGGTGTGTTTGAAAGTGGAAGAGGAGGTGGCATAGTGACTGGTGGATAGTTCGAGTCTTGTGTTTTCTAAAATTGTTTGTGGTGTATCTGTTAATGGTGTTAAGTAGGGTGCAGCCTGATATCCATTACATACTGGAATTTGGAGAAGGTATAACTTGGGTTGTAGGAAGCCTTGACGGTACAAAATGTGCAGATT